TTTACATTAACTGTTCCCTCCTGGTGGAATGACCTGCCCAAATCAATCCCAGCAGCTGAGTCCTTAACCATCTTCTAGAAACGACTAAAAACACATCTGTTCCACCTTTATTTGACCCTCTAACTCTAACACTCTCTATTCTATTCTATTTTAATTTTACTTTATCTATATTTATCATCTTTTTTTTATTTAAAAAAAAAAAAAAAAAAAAACTTGCTTTAAAATCAGGATTTCCATTTTTTCTACAGCCGCAGGGATTTGGAAATGAACCGCAGTGGCTCTGTGCTAAATGCTAAGACCCTGAGGTGAGAACTAAGTTAATTAGAATCTGAATAGTCTCATTTACATATGACTGTGTAATAAGACTGAATTCTGAAATCTCATTCTTGCAGGTGCCCGGTCATGCTGGTCGTTGGTGACAATGCTCCGGCCGAGGAAGGCGTGGTGAGTCTTTCATAAGAGACTTATTTGATCATGTTTTTCCCCATCCTCCTCATTTTTATCTCTCATGTTTTCTTCCTCTTACCAAACTTTTCTCTTCTTTCTGTCATAAACTTATCTTTCTATGTAATATATCCCAAACTTGGATGTTTTTTGTCATTCAGAGACAGGTCAATCTGCTCTGCATTTCTTCCTCTTTCTTCCTTCCTCTTTCTCCGGTTGTCTCACGGGAGCAGATGGCACTGGTCCCGGGGTTGATCTCCCAGGCTTTGCCAGCTTGTGTGCGCTGGATATTTTTAACTCCGCACCATGGCCCTTTAATCTAACATATGAAAGCTGGGTCAGTGCCCCATCACATCTAATCAGACACACAGGGCGAGAGATAAGGAAAAAGAGGGACATGACGAAGGAGAGTAAGAGATAGAAAAGAGCGAGAGGTAAACCAAAAGAGGATGAGAGATGAGACGGATTTGAGTAATTTAGGGCAAGAGGAGGAAGATGAAAAGGTGGGAGCAGAGGAAACAACAGAAGGATGAGGAAGAGATTAGTGTGAAAAAATAAAAATAAGTGAAGCAAAATCATGGAAAATTAAGTGATTTTGAGCAGAAGGAGAGATTAGAAAAGCAAATATGCCACTAGTGAAACCTACTAATTCTTGATTATTACAATTCTCAATTTTAGAACAATTTTAACAGTAGTAACATTACTTTACTGCTTTTCCTTCAATTTCTCGTCCAAATCTTAAATTGTGTGTGTGTGTGTATATATACATATATAACGAATATTAAATAAATAATAAATATAATAATACAATATTTATTAATAACATATTGGTTGGGCGATTGTTTGGGGGGGGGGGGGGAGAGTACACATGAGGAAAAATGTGTTCCCACCATCAGTATCACATCCATTGATTAATGCAGACACGTGTGGTGAGAGTTTTCATTAGAATTCTGAACATGTTAGAAAGAGGGTAGCCGTCCCTTTCTGAAAGTGTCTGCGGTGGTCCAAACAGAGCCCTCAGGCGAATGCGTCTGCGCAGCTGTCTTTCTTTAGCACTGGAATATGACTCATCTCTGCAGTACTGCAGTAACTGGGTCAGGCCTCAAAAACACACATACTCATACACACACACATATACATATACATACATACATACATATATATATATATATATTCACATGAACATACACACGCTCCTCCCTCCGTCACACCATCCATCTTACTGCCCTTCATTCAACTGCCTACTGAAGAACTTGTTTAATCTTCTCCATATTCTCTTGTACTGCTCTGTAAATGCCCTGATAGATATGTAAATGTTCACAAACATTTATAAAATACAGTATAAATGTTTTCTACTTCTAGGTTGAGTGCAACTCTAAACTGGATCCAACCAACGCCACATTCCTAAAGGCAAGTGAACAGACATACTGTAGAAATACAGGCCAAACCTAGACCATTTTGGGACATAAAATGTCAGAAATAATTTCTTAAAAACATATTTGATTTGTTTCAGATGGCTGATTCAGGTGGAATGCCTCAAATTACACAGGTGAGACTGTTTGACGTGTCTGATCTTTGATCAGTCTCTGATAGTATTACAGTGGTGACCAAACATGATACCAAAATAGTTTTTTGTACAAATGTAATCAAAATGTCCTTATAATCAATTAAATTATTAATGGATAATTAGTAATATCCCAGAACTTAACTGAAGTTAAAGCTTGTCAAACACTAGATTTGTAAATACTAAAAACAATTTGATTTAACAGTCTTGATCATGATTTCTTTTTCTTTTTTTCAATTAAACTATGTTAAATGTTTTGAATCCTACAGCCTGGAAAACTCTCAGAGGCTTTCAAGTACTTCCTGCAGGGAATGGGTTACAGTAAGTCTAATTTATTTCATATTATTTTGATCATCAGTGTATTTATTAACAATGTTTATAATGTTTCTGGGTAAATCAGAACCCCAAATCAGTTCAACTGATGATTCTTTCTCTGCCAAATGTAAACCGATCCTGTATGTTCAGTGTGTCCTTTCTCCCATGTGTGTCTATTTCCCACGATGAGAGAGTTGTGAGTGTATGCAAGCAAATAAGTGTGTGTGGAGGTGTTGTATTTGGTATAATCTGTACCCTATGTGTATTTTCCTGCCCTTCTCAGTTGCTTATATGAAGGATCGGAGAATGAGTGGGGGGCCAGGTACTTCCTGCTTCCTGTTCACGCCTGCCCTCTTCCTCATTTAGATGACACATTTAGTCTTCTAAACCCTTGTTTGGCCTTGTTTAATTTCTGTATTTATCCTTCCCAGACTGATATTTCCATTCATTCATTATTTACTTTACTGATCAGTGATTTTTCCTCTGAAGGAAAAATGTGCTTTGAATGTGCTCTCATGTTCTCTGCATGGCAGTTATTCGAAATTGAACCATTGAAAACAAAATCGTAGATGAAATAATGGCATGAAATGCAATTTTTTTCTTTCTAGTTTAGAATTATTTTAAAAAGTTGTGAAACTTGCTGTTTTAGGCACTCTTTTTCAGATACTTCACATTTAAAGGGGTCCTATTATGCTCTTTTACAAAGTCTTGATTTTGTTTTGGGGGTGTACTAGAACATGCTCTCATACTAGGTTGTTCGAAAAACACATTCTTTTTCACATATTTTACATTATTACAACACCTCTCTCCCCAGTCTGGCATGAACGGCTCGAATAGTTCCTGTATCAAATGAAGGCCCGCCTTCTGAAATACGAAATGTGCTGTGATTGGTTAGCTGGGCCAGTGTGTGTTGTGATTGGCAGCACTCGGCTCCTGGTCGGGAAATGTCACGCCCCTTACCATAGCTGCCTGCTGTGAGCTTCAGTGTAAATATTGTGTCAAAATCAAATCAATTTGAGCGCGATTTAAACCCGGATGATTGTAACCACTCTAAGTTCATCTGCCTTGGGAAAGCTAGCGTGTCTCCGACATAATGATAACACTCGTTGCCTTCTCTAGTGCAGCTCAACCAGGTCTCGTCCCATTCGTTGATATTTGTGATATCACAAATCCTGGAAAATATGCGTTGTAGTCCAAACGAGTCGTTCGTTGTAGTTTTTGAAAAGTGATTTCTGTTAAATAAAATATCTCCTTTTGAAGTGGACTTTGAACTTTGTAACTTTGCAGATCTTTTTTATGCTCAAACAGCAACATTACAGACTAACTAAAGTTGAAAAAGTGAAAAAGCATAATAGGACCCCTTTAAGAGAGCACTTGTAGGCTGGAAGATCTTTTATGTTTGAAATATTGGTTTTTAAATAAATATTTATATATTTTATTTATTGAAATATTTATAATAGCTATATATTTTCATACAATATTTTCTTGTTTAAAAAAAAACTAAGTATCATTGGAACAAGTGTCAATTCAATTACAGCATTTTTGCCTTGTTTTGCAAACAAATATCTAAACATCCATAAAACAACTGAAAAAAAATGGTGTAGAAACAGTTTACACTCAGAAATTGCAATTAAGTTTCACAATTAACTACAAAGAAATGGCAAGTAACACACTGAATTAAATTATGAAAAATTACTAATTAAAATTATGAAGTAGAAAGACTGAAAAATTTTTTTTTTTTTTTAAATATACTCCAGTAACATTTGTTTTATTTACACCTTCAGAATTTTTTTTTTTTTTTTTTTACTGTGTGTATATGTGTTGTTGTCCTTCTTTTTTTTTGGGTCAAAACTCACAAATTTTTGAATGCTTAACAAGAGGAAAAATTCTAATGGAGTAAGGGAAACTCATTCTTATTTCTACACAATTTTGCTCACATTTTTTTTTCTTATTTAAGGATGTTTAGATTTTTTTTTACTGTAAAACAAGAAAAATACTGATTGAGAGAATGATTTTTTAGCACTGGAAACGGGCATTTTGATATACGTAAAGATTCTGGTTGCCTATTTAAGTTGGATTTGAGTCATTCTGTATTTGCAGTGGAATGTTATCAGCTTGAGGCTGAAATTATTTTCTACAAAAAGTTCAAGCATGTCATCCCTGCCTCCTCTGCAACACATCATGCAGCCCGGACGAATTTCCCTGTGGATATGGAACGACTATTCATCTCCATCTCTCTTTCTCACTTTTTTTCTCAGTGCCCTCGGCCAGTATGACCCGTCTTGCTCGCTCGCGAACGGCCTCTCTGACCAGCGCCGGCTCCGTGGATGGTTCTCGCAACCGCGCATGCACGCACTCAGATAGCAGTGAGGGCATCGGGCAGGTCAGCCACACCATGGAAGTGTCCTGCTGATCCCTCGTGCACTGTCTCACATGCACACATTTAGAGAGACGTGGCATGGAAGGAGGGTGTGAGAAGAATGGAGGTCTCATATTGCTTTCATTCTTTCTTTCTCAGCCATTTTCTGTGTCCTTTTCTCTCAGTTTTTCAGCGTTAGCCATCTTAAAGGAATAGTTGACTCAAAAATGAAAAACAAAAATATGTATAAAAACATCATTTACTCGCCCAGATGTCTTTAGAAACCTGTATGACTTAATTTCTTTTGTAGAACACAAAATAAGATATATAGTCCAAGGAGCTATTTTCCATATAATGAAAGTGAATGGTGACCACAACTAAATTTCAGTGAATAACAACCTTTTTTTTTTCGTGAATTGGCTTCAGAAGACCATCCACTTCCACTGTATGGAAGAGAGCAGCTTGGACGTTCTGCTGAACATCTGCTTTTGTGGTCCACAGAAGAAATAAAGCCATACAGGTTTAGAAGAACTTTTTCTTTTCGAGCTGAACTATTCCTTTAACCTGTAAAATGAAGACTTACTGTCCTTTTCCCCTTCAAAACAGTGTTTGGTTTCCCCCAACTTTGTAACACGGTTACTTATCGCTCTACGTGTCAGTATTCCTGCACCCTTTGCTTGCTGCCTCTGGCCTTCACCTCCTCCTAAGACAAAACCACAAGTCCCATCAGCCCCTGCTCTCACTCATTCCTGTCCTATGACAGTCTTTGAGGAGAAACTGATGGATTGGGTCACAGGTAGAAGGGATCGGTCTTGAGGAACAGCATGAAACAAAGCAAAAGAAAGAAGAAAGGAGAGTTCTTAAACCAGAGAGCGATTTATAAGTAACATTTGTAGCTCTCCCTCTCAATTTTGAGCGAAAGCAAAGCGATTGTATAGCCGAAAAGGGTAAAAATCTCTTATCCAGTAAACAGTAGCTTTCGGCTAATCATCTCAGCTCATTCAGTCCTTGGGAGTGTATGTTTCGCCACATACTGTAAGAAAGAATCACTTTATAATGGAGTTTGTTTTGTTGCATTATTTGATACCATGATTGGTTTTCTTATTTAAAATGTTATTAAAGCATGAAAAACAGTTTTGAAGTGTTTTCCTCCATTAAAGTAGGAACAGAAGTTGTATGACTTGACCGCTGACTTGCCTTAAATAGTCTTTTGTCATGTTAGAATGCTTAATATTGCCATTCCTTTCATATTAAGCACTAATACGATCAACCACACTTTCAAATCAAGTCTCATTTCATTAAATACTACATGCCTAGTACCCTTTTAGTGTGCACTCGCTGTCATATGAAAGTGGCTTTGCCTGGGATCGGTTCTGTAGGTCTCCATTTTATAGACAATCGGCTTCTGACCCAAACCAAACCAGAACCGTCGACTGAGGCAGAGCCTGTGTGATAGAGTTTGCAGTGCGTTAGCAGTACAGAATCAAGGCCTCACACTTCCCTTGCAGCACCCAGCCCCGCACCAGGAATATACCAAAGCTACTGATACAAATGCACACACAAATGCACACATACATATTTCCCAATGAGGGCTGGGCTCTGCAAGGTAACAGGGCTTTTGTATGTATACACACACACACACACACACACACACACAATTCATGTACTCACATGCAACTTACACATAAATGACACTGAAAGATTCATATGCATTAGAATCATATTCAGTGCATGCTTATTTCATAATTTAAAGTGGATCTGTGGATTCACATTTAGTTATTTTTTGTGTTATTTTTTAAATGGACTCTTGTCAAATTTCCACATTTTCATCATAGTTTGGTAAAGATCTGAAGTGGTGAATGGAAACTACAACAGATATATTTTTTTGTGTGTTCCCATTTGCACAAATAGCAAAATGAAAAAGCCACAATAGTGTTTCTGTGACTTTCCAAAAGTGGAAAAAATGGAGAGATTGATAATGGTGTCAGAAGAGAAAATGATGTCAAATTTGATGTCACTTCCCGTTTTGTTAGAAATACATAGCAGCAGCAGCCAAGGTAATATAACACAAGGTGTAGTGTTATAAAAAATGGCTAGATGGCTTTACAATGTTAATAACTGAAAATGTGTCATTAAAGTCTATGAAAAGGGTCCATAATTGTTGATTTATATACACAAACTGCACAAAATTATTGGAGAAAAACCCCACCTAAACAATTGCACGAATGAAAGTAATGAATGAACTAATGAACAAATGAGCAAACAAATAAAGGAATGAGCAAACAAACAAGCAAACTAATGAACTAAACAAATGAACGAATGCACAAATGTTTTGAATCAAGTTCCAGAGGTGACTGACATGAGCTGAGATCTGATTGGCCGACGCAGCTAACGTGGAACTTACGAGGGCGGAGCTACCATTGGCTTTCCATTCCACACTCGCGTTTTTCTGTCTTACTGAATGTCAGTTTTTCTGCTGCTTCCTCGAACAGGAAGTGCACAATTACGACTTCTCAGGGGTGTTTCCTGTGTGTTTGTCTGTAAGGGGCGGGGCTTTCTGGAGCATGATGCTCCAAGCTTGGAATGTAGGGCAAATCCCACCCCCAAACAAACCCAACCCCCAAAACACAAGGTGCCCCTCCTCTCACAGACACTTCCAGTCGCCCCTAAAGGGCTATCGACCCAGGCAACGCATCGTGATCAACCTCACTCCGTGCAAAGCTGGGCGCAGTACTGTAGATACTGTAAAAAGAGAAAGATGAATGCATGATACGGAATAAACAGTGAATGTGAAAAAGGAAAGAGAGGGAGAGGAGGAACAAAAGGACATGTGGTGGGTGTTCAAAGTGGGAGGGTCAAAGTCAAATGCAAAATATCAATGGGTTTCCTCCTAAAGACTGAATGGACAAATACACGTTCTTCCCCAGTATTGATTTGCATGAGTTTTGATAATGCAACCTTGTGTTTGTGTTGTTTTCCTTGATTTCCTGTCTGAAGTATGCAGTTGTCAGCTCTTATTAAGAGATCAAGAGCATGCCCACCTTTCAAATGTGCACTTTTTCCTGATCCCTGATCTCTGCCTGGGGGCCCTGAATGTATTATGTCCTTTGGAAGTGCTGTACAGTATTGTCAATGTGGCCCCATATCACCTTTTCTTAAATCAGGGCTCACACCAGTTTGACCTGCCACACCTGCCTTCCCTTGCACCCGTTCCCTTCTCATGTCCCTTCTCATGTTCATGTTCTCTGCTGTAGATATTCGCCGTTTTTAGGGCATAAGTCTAAAAATAGTTCCGTACCACTAGCCTTGTCATGTGGAACTGTTACTCTTTGGATTTCCCTTGAGTTCCTCTTTTTATAATACAGTAGTTCTTATTTAACCATGTGTTGCATCTATTCTTGTGAGGATTCAATGAGTATTATTATTATGAATATGATTACAATTGTTACGATTAGCCATTGTTTTATATTAAGCAATTTTTTGTTTGTGTTTATTTTTTGGATGGGGGCTGGTTGTTACAAATCTGTCTAAAGATACAGCAAGAGTCACTCTTAACCTGCTTTACCATAAGAAAACTAAAAAAACTAATGTGTTTATGAATATGTACATGTATATACAAACTGTCACAGTCTGTGTACTAAAAAACTGAACGTGCAACAAATAAAAATGGATATACAAAACGTATACAAAACGCTTTTGTTTGGTTTCTTGCAGATTAATTAGTATCAACTCCCAATTAACACATAATATATATATAAAAAAATATATATAGTTCAAAGTTGCTTTTATGGAAACCCATTTTTGCCACATAAGAAAAAAATCATGCTTTGGTAAATCATAATTATGACATAAGAAGTCAAAATTATGACAGTCATAATTATGATATAAAAAGTCATAATTATGACAAAAAGTCAAAATGATGAAAATGACAAAGCATAATTATGAGAGAATAAAACTGAAATTATGAGATAAAAAGTCAAAATTGTTTAAGCCATGAGAAAAAAAGCTAAAATTATGAGATTGAGAAAAAGTAAAAAAAGATTTTTATATAATAATTATAACTTTCATGCCATGACTTATCTAATGTTTTTTATTTAAACTCTGTCTCATAACTTTGCCTTTGATGTCATAAGTATGATTTAACAAAACCTTTTTTCTTTTATCTGCTAAATGCATAAATGAAAGTAATGTAATGTCTATAGTAGTAATCCAGCACACTCATTTTTCAAACTTTGCTGTAATTTATTTCAAGGAATGAAATTTGCCATACATTTGGGAATTTCTTCACCTCACGTAACAAAGCTAAGCGTTTAAAGGCGCATTCATAGTGAAAAAAAAAATTAATAGGCTGCATTTCAGTTCACATACTTCTATACAGTAAAAGTACATTCTTCACTGGTGAAGGGGAAAGTACAGAATTTTGAATGTACTGAATGGCAAGATAGGTTACAAGTAATCATATGTATACAACAAGATTTTTATAAAATTGTCTTGATACTATAGACCCCTTAAAATTGTTGCAATCTTTGTGTTGCAGTAAATGTAAAAAAAACAATAAGTTAGCAACTAGTAGAATACACACTTTGAGAAATTGCTATCTACTGTTACTATCTGGGGTTTTTAACCATACGATAACTAATTCTAATATTGCATACTATACAGTATAGACAGTATGTGAAACAGGAAGCAGCCATATTCTCATGTATTGAATCAAGACCTACTGAAAAATGAGCTCATAAGTTACAATATAGGCGTCACTGTAGACATACAGCAAATGATCTCTGGGGTCATAGTTAAGAAACTCAATATTAGTCTGCATCTTCTTAATATTAATTTTCAAATCATAGCGCTCTTCCTTTGTTTTGGTGTCATAAGAGTAAAAGATCTGTTCTGTTTCTTTATCCAGGTAACGAGTAGCATAAAGCACACCGCACACCATGAAGGTGTTTGTGGCAGTCATTTTGTACAAAGAGGTTTTCCACGTTTGGCCCAAAACTGGCGGGTTACTAGTCTCGACTTTACTGATAATCACATTTCCGAAGTTGCTTGTAGTCGCATAAATAACATAGACCCCAGATTCATCTGTGACAAAATCCATATCAGTATAACTGTATGTTGTGCCGAGGTGTGCGAATGGAAACTTGTTGTTGTATCCTGTATCACTAGGTAGAGCCACAGTACTGATAGCACGAGTCGTCATGTTGAACTGACAGACGGAGTATGTGTTGTAACAGT